ATAATTATGGTCAATTTTGAAAATGTTGTCCTTAGAGGGTAGCTCAAGATTTTCAAATGACAAGTATAGTCGAGTTTGGTATAATTTTACTGGTCTTGACGAAACATAAAAATTGACATAAAGAAAACTAAAATCGGCCTACTAATAACAAAATAGCGCCCTAAAACGTTTCAAATCCAAATAACCATGATGGTGGCTGAAAATTAACTTGCAACCTCTTTAACTTTTTAACTATTTGAGATATTTGAAATCGGTTTGCAGTAACTTGTTTGGATATGAAGGGGTACAATAATAATTATGGTCAGTTTTGAAAATTTTGCCCTTAGGGTTAGCGGGGGTAGTGGGTGGCTCAAAGTTTTCAAATGACAAGTATAGTCGAGTTTGGTATCATTTTACAGGTTGACGAAACATAACAGTTAACATAAAGAAAATAGAAATCGGACCATTAGTAACAAAATTGTAGTTCAAAGTTACTTTTAATAACCATTGTCTTAATAATTTTTAGCTGCCATTTTGTTATTAATGGTCCGATTTCTATTTTATTTATGTTAATTGTTATGTTTCATCAATACCTAGAAAATGATACCAAACTCGACTATACTTGCTAATTGAAAATTTTGAACTACTTGTACCCCCGCTACCCCTAAAGGCAAAATTTTCAAAACTGACCATAATTATTGTAGCCCTTCATATCCAAACAAGTTACTGCAAACCGATTTCAAATATCTCGTTATCTCAAATACCTATAGTAACAATTTTGTAGATTACCTCACCAGCCATCGGACTATAGAGTGATGTACAAGTGATATACGATGTATTCTCGACGATGCCATACATGTGATTACTTGTGTAAAAAAGGAAATAAAGATTTTGATTTGATTTGAAAGAAGCCATGAAATCCATGTATGCAAGGTTGGGACTGTGTTGATCCTTGTTTCACTCAAAAGTTCAAACAGTCTTTACAATTGGTGTTATCCTTAATTTTCTTTGCTATATATATAGCCAGAAATGTAGTAGCCTACATACATCTCCTGGTAATTCGAAGAAGTGGTTGAACATAGTCCTATAATAATTAAGTCTTTGCCGTCCACTTCGTCATCATTGACATTAAGTGTTGACAAATCCTTTGCCTACATTTAAAGTCAAGGACGATTCCTGTCCGGGTTGAAATCAATACAATTTGATTGGGCACTGGCCTGAACAAAAGCGACTGTTTGACTGTTTTGAAACATTAACTTTCTTAGAGCATGGAAAGTTGTACGCATTATCCAATTGTTACAGCAGTAAACTGTTGACATGCTAGGGCAAAGGCGAGCGCCAAGCGCGCGAGCGAGGACGGGGAAACAGCTGATTTCCTGATGTTCCTAAGTCAGTTGTCAAATTGTCTGCTAGCCACTAACTTTACACAGGCATCAATCAGCAATCAGCGGTAGCACCAGTAGCCTATATTGCCTATATAAACAGTATTGTTAAAGTTTATAGTAAATGCTATTACTGAATTCGATACTATACATATTGTGACAGATCTATGAAATGGAGAAAACGTAAGGTTAAAAAACGTGTCTACTTGCTTGCATGACATATAACAGGTGAAATGGAAGGTTTTAGGACAATTGGGCACAGTTCTAGCCGTAAGAAATTACTTTATAAAGTCACCAAACAGCTTTTAGGAGATATATGGCTTCAGGCTTGGTAGTCTACAGTAGGCCTATGTTTTGAAATTCATGAATACAAGTTCGTCATAGTTTGATTTTTAAAATGTCTACTTGCTCATGACAAAGATAAATAACAGGTGAAATGGGAGGTTTTTGGACATTTGGACACAGATATAGACATTAATAATTGCTTTAGAAAGTCAGTAAACAGCTTTTAGGAGGATATGGCCGTAGCCTACAATATGTTTTGAGATTTATGAATGCAATCGTCATAGTTAGTTTTAAAATTGTCTACTTATTCATGACAAATAAATGGGGAAATGGGAGGTTTTGCACACAGTTCTAGATGTTAAAACTGGCTGTAGAAAGCCACCCAACGGCTTTTAGAAGGATATGGCCGTAGTCTACAGTGTATTTTGAAATTAATGAATGCAATCGTCATAGTTTAATTTTTAAAATGTCTATTTCTTCATGACAAACAACAGGTGAAATGGGAGTTTATGGACAATTGGGCACGGTTTTAGGTGTTAAAAATGGCTTTAGAAAGTCACCAAACGGCTTTGAAAATTCCAAATTTTCGGGGGGGAGCACACCCCCCTGCTTTATTGGGGGGTGCTCCACACCCCCCAAGCCCCCCCTTGACAAGGTCCTAGAACCGCCACTGATCATATGCACGAGAAAAATAACTCTAAATGATCTTGTGACATGTTATGTAAGAATGTATTCAAACTTTTCTTCATCAAGCAATCTGTTTTACGAGTTTCTGAATAGTATTTATGTTTGTCAGAAATCCAAGCAAGAAGATCTTTCGTGGGTGTTCCAACAATGGAATGTTTTCAGCTCTGGAGTGATTTGAGATACTTGTATGCTTTTTGAAGGAATGTATCATTGTATACTTATTTAGACGGTTTTATAGGAGCTTTGAAATTCTTGCTAAAAGGGTTTCTAGTGTTTGAAAAATCAAAACAACCTGTCTATGGTTCTTGGTTCACAACCAACAAAATCTGGATGTCTCTTTTTTGATAAAACTCCAGTGCATCTGCAACACCAGAACTCAAGCTAATAGAACATTCATCTTTTTGTTCAAAAACTTTACAGTATGTGTTTGTTGACAACTTATTTGTAAACTGTACCCTTCCGAATTTTGCAGATTGTTCAGGGATTCAATGTACTTAAATTTTTAACTAGACCATCCTCAGATTCAATCGTTCCTTTTCATATTATTGTATTGACATAATTTTAACATATGATACATATCCAGCGGTGACAAGGACATCATGGTTCATGGTTGGTAGACGAAACCAAGGTTTTTCTGGAAGTACACATCCAAGTTTGGACAGGACGCTAATGTTTGTTGAAGGTCCATCTCACGTTATGTTATGAACTTTGATTTTAACTTTGTGTAGTTTCAAAACAATAGTTTTTAACTGGCTTAAAATACTTAACCCATTGGGTTTAGAGAGAAATGATAGTAACCAAAAATGTGTACTTTTAGATGGACTACATTTTGTATACAAGGCTTTTTCCTGCATCTCTAATAATTAGCCACTATAGCCAAAAATACAGAAATATGCACCATTTTCCAATATGGCGGCTGTAGCACAGCTTCAATTTTAGGGGACTTTGAGTATGTTCAAAATAAAGGTACACACAACATCTGTACCAAACTTCTTGATGTGCTATTTTTTTTTTTTAGTTTTATCTATATAAATAAAATTGTTCTATAAAGCTTAAAAACAATTACAGTAGACCCCTTCTTCACCGACCTCGCATTAACCAATTATCCGCCCTCGATCGTAAAATATTAAGTTTGTTTTAACCGACCCTGCTTGAGAACAGTTCGGTTTAACAGCCACTTTCTGGCATTTCCGCTCCCACGCTTTGCAATGGGAACCATACGTTCATCTCCACAGGTTTTATTTATATTTATCCCAAAAAATTATGTTGCTAAAAACAGCAGCTATTTTTGTAATATAATCTAGAATTATCTTATCGCTAGAGTAAACAAACAACTTGTAGGGTGGGCAGGGAGGGAGGTTAACGAAACCAAGGTGTGACTCAGGTCTCCAGTGAGAGGCTATAAATAACTATTCTGTCTTTTAACAAAATGGTTGCTATAATCTTTGATCTTGACAAAAAGTTCTATAATGTATTACAATAGATTTGGAATGTCAATGCATCAATTTATTAAAGTACTAAAGTTATTAAAATAAAGAGTTTTTATTGACTCTTGCCTAACTATAATTTATTCCACTGAAAGTAATTGACTTAACCGTGTTTTGTGTTTGTTTGTGACTTTTCTATCTATACGGAAAAAAAAGAATATGAGTGTTGTTTGTTTTTTTAAATAATGGTGATATTATTCTAAATGAATAGCACTTCATTTTGGTAGGTTTAATAGGGATTGCCCGTTTCAACAAATCTTTTGAGTTATCCGACCTAGGTCTGGTCCCATTAGGGTCGGTTAAGACGGGGTCTACTGTAATTTGAATTCACTTAATTTAACTGATGCTTTTGTCATCAAAATATTTTAATCGGGTTTAAAGGGATTTATTTTTAAGTATAATGTAGTATCCATTTAGTATATAAGGTAGCCTTAGACCTCTGTATTTTAAAATGGGGCTTCATAATAACAATTTAACAAAAAATAAAAGCCAGGAATTTTTCTTGCTTTAATAATAGTACAACGGGGTTTTTACTGACGTAAAACTAAATCAAAACCTTCGTACTTTTATGACGAATACAATGGTGGGACCCACATTGAAATCGAATAAATATCAACAAAGATATGACAGTTTATATCAATGAAAACACAGTGGCCCATATCAAGCATTTGGCAGCAGAGGCGCAGTACACAATTTAGGTGATGGGGGGAGCGCGGGACCGATACAAATGTATCTCTGAGCTGTACGGCGTGCGATCCAGTTGTAGAAATAGATATCGAAGGAAAAACCGTGTGTGTATTACGAGCACAAACAGTCATGTGAAATGTAGCCACACTCAGCTAAGCCTTCATGTGGCCATCTACATTCTCTAGCCACAATGACACACTTTGTGCTCTTAATACACAAAAATAGCTATTTAAACCAGTCAAAACCAGTACTAAAGTAAGTTTGGTTGACTGTTTGGAAAATAAAATAACCTTTTAAACTTTAAAAGTTCTGTTGAAAAACATGATTATTAATGGTTCTGTAAGACAAAAGAAATTCAATTGAATGGTATGAAATTGCAAACAACATGAATAGTAATTTCATTGGCATGTTTATTTTTTTTTAACTACATAGATCTTACAAAATGACAATTATGTAATCAAAATTCTATGATTGTATGGAAATGAAAAACTAGTTTCCGGCATACAGTTTTAAAATTTATATTTGTACTTTATGGGTAATATAATTATATGCATGCTTATATACAACAAAATCAGCACTGTAATTTTGAAACCAGTAAATGATATTTTACCAGTAATTATTATTTACTTATAACACACATTTTGTTTAATTTACAAAACACATTATGATACATAGTTCATATTTCAGTTGTTCTCAATTTTTGGCTCTTGATTTTTTTTTTTTTTTATAGATAGGTATTAAAAAAAAAAAATTACACCGTTATTACTCCTGTAAACCAGTCACCAACAGCATTTGATCAGATGCACATGGATTCAAGTAGCCACCGTTCAGATTCAGTAGGGGAACCCAAAAATACTGTTTAACTAGACCATCTTGTGTTCTTGAATGTAAAAAATATTCAAAAACAGTATGATATCTAGTTAATAAATGTTACCTTATTTAATTATTTACCTGCCAAGTTTACAGGCTTATTAACAAACAAGGCCTACTTTAAAGTTGCATTCTGACACTAGAAAGGTTATTCCTCAAGTCCTTTGCAGTCAAAAAATTCAATTGCCGCATAGGTCCATTCAAGAAAGTCTGGCACCCTAACAAACCTTTAGGTGAATGGCCCTGGTGCTCTGTTTCATACTACTATAAATCAACCAAGTTATTTACAAAAAAAAAACAACACATTTTTACATCAGTTACAATTCTTATCTTGACTCAGCCTTGTGCTTTGGTGGCTTGAAGGTTTTCAGTTTCTTTGTCTTTGGGCCTGAGGAGCCTTTTTTGGAGCCAGCCTGAAAGGCTTTCCAACTATTTACTCGGTTCTGTTGAGACTCCTGAAACAAAATAATTACGTTTGTATCGAGCATTAACATATCTAGGGTGAAAATTGTATAGAGATTAGGTTAGATTTTGCACTATTGAGTTTGCTAGGCACCAGTTAAATGCTCCTGGCCACATTGTCGCAGTTATGACTTTATGCAGTAGTGGTGTGCAATGCATCAAAATATCGAATCCGATTCGATTTAACATGCAGCAAAATACCGTGTCCAAATCGATGCATCGGGAAAACAGATGCATCAATTACGTCCTGATGCATATATAAAAGTAATTTATAAAGAGTTTTAGACTATTTATAAATGTATTATTTCAGAATTAATTTATCTAGTAATGTTTTATCGTTTTACTAGCAGTTACCCGGCGCCCGTTGCTGCGCTTAATAACTATTATTTTAAATGGTAATTTGTTCTTTACGATGAATAATAAAAGTGTATACCAAAAATAAAAATGGAATATTTTACTTAATTGCCAGTACATGACAATGTTTTTTTTTGTTTTTTTCATTAGGTGAATAAATATATATTTATTTATAAATAGGCCTATATAAAACTTATATATTTAAGTTTTAGGCATACCTACCACCATGTGGGCACACAACATACAGCTGTCCGTGTGAAAAGCATGACTTTTCTAAATTTAAATCGACGATAGTGAGGGATTGCCCTAGTGCTTTATAATGGTGATTGCAAAAGCAAGACAAGGAAATTGTAGTTGCTTAAATTCAGAGGGTAATTCGGATGAAATCATCAGTATTCTTGGGATTAAGACTAATTCTCCTTTAAACTTACAACTGATTTTTGCTTCAATCAATTTTGGTGTAATTTTTGAAATCGTCAGTCTGATAACATTGCACAGCTTGGTGGATTTAATTTCACATTAGTATTATTGGAGTTCCTTCTTTTAATGACAGTAATGTGGTGGGTTAACCCTAGCAGTGGCCAATGTTAGAAGCCGGGAATGGCAAACCCCTTTGGGCGATTTTGCAGATCTTTTTTTGAAAATTCGTAAAAATTCAACCGTACAAGTAAACCTAGCCAACCTCATATTCATTTTGTTCGGAAAGAACAGTAGAATCTAGAAATAGTAAATATAATAATTATTTAGATAGTGTATTTATTCTGTAAAGTGAAAAAAATATAAAATTTTGTTTGAAATTTAAAAAGTGGCCTCCGTATTTTTTATTCTACGGATTTTTTATGGGAAATTCATTATATACATTTTATAGACAATCTAATACCCTAGATTGAAAAATATAACATGTTAGGAATAATATTTTTTTATAAGTTTTTGGGGCGAAATATAATAAATAACAAACGGAGAACCGAAAAAATTGAAAACCGTACAGTGTTAGTTTGTGTTGTAAAAAGTTGTATAATATATTTGTATACTAATAATGATATATACATGTTTGTAAAGCTAATGAAGTAAGGAATAAAAAAAAGTCATAAAGTTGATGGTAAAAATATTTTTTGTTTATAATCAAAATAATGTTTTTGTATTTTAGCGATTTTGTGAGAAAAGAAAATCATGGTATTTAGTATAAAACATTTGTACCAAATGTTTTTACTTCAAACCAACATAAACATCTTGTAGTGTATTCAATTACCTTCATAAAAATGTATAACATGTTGGGTGAAAATTTTTGGTATTACGTGCTAGCAGTGGCGGCGATAAGAGCCCACCGTGGGCCCCCCGCAAGTTTGTTTGCCGGGCCCACCTCTCCCAATAATCCTTAAAAAATTATCACATATATTACCGCCTAAACTTGCACTTTAGCTTGTCACGGCATCCCCCGAGGCATCATCGTCGTCTTCCATGATCGCGGCAAAATCGTGAATACTTCCCGTAGTCATGGAAGAAACATTAGCCTAGCATAGTCTACTGTTATTGCAACCAAACCTATGACATCGTCTCCCGCGTTCACGGTCCACCCTAATATCTCCCGCGAACCGTGGTGATGGGGAAATCATTTTTTCCGCAATCGCGGCAAAATCCTAGATATATCTCTCGCGGAAAAAGAAACGTCTTTATCGTCTTCCGCAATCACGGCAAAGTATTGAACATTTCCTATGGCAGCTGAGACATCGTCATCGTCACCCGTGGAGAAATGTTCTCGTCGTTATCCGTGATCGCGGCAAAAGAGTATGCCTAATCTTTCAATTTCGTGATCGTGATCCTCGCGAACATAAAAGCTTTTACTTTTAATTGGGCATTATTGTATTGAGTACTGAGAAAATCTGATTGAGCTTGATTTTTTGACTATGTGCTTGATCTCTCAAGCTAGGCTAGGCTCTGCTCGGTTCGAACGTCAAAATTAAAAATCAGCATTTCCCAAAGCAACCTGATTTTGAACCGATCTGATTTGGCCTGAGGCCCATAGGTACTAACATTTTTTACCTGACTCGAAGTAAACAAATCTAAAGGGCAGCCTTCTAATAGTTAGAAATGAAATGAAATGAAAATCCTTCTTTAGCATCAATGAAAGAATGGAATTATTTATTAGCTAGTGCCCTAGACAGCTAGGTTAATTCGCCGATTTGATCGTAAAAAAATTGCCAAGTTAATTTAGTTGAATCAGCATAGAGGGTGTGATCCGCCGGGGGCAAGGAGGATTAACATTAATGTTTAATCCTCCTAGGCTGGGAGCCACATTGGTTCTAAATACGGCCCTATTATAGCGCCTTCACACAGTCCACGAGGATAGTTGATACAACCTGCATTACTGATGACAATTCTTTTACTTAGGTTGGTAGAGAATTTATATTGATCGGTCAAGTAATAGTGTCAGTTTAGCTGTTGTAATTAAACTACTCGTCCTAGTGCTCTTACAGGTTTTAACACATTTTCATCATAAAAAACGTATGGTAGTTCTTATACAAATATTGTTATGATAGGGGGCCCGTGTGGCTGAGCCTGTCGCACAATCACGAGCCCTTGTCCTGGTAAACTTCCCGAAAAATCCCAGTCAAGGCTCACGGGCCCCCTAAGCTCGCGGGCCCGCTGTCGCCACCACTGCATGCTAGGGGCATAATAATATAAATAAACGGAAAACCTCAAAATACAACCAAAAGAAAAATACAACCTTTTATAAACACAATTTGACACTATTCAGTAAATATTCATGCATAATAAAATACATGAAGATTACTGTTATATACACATACACATTTCTCAAAAAATACGAAATAATAATGAGTTTAGTAACGCAATGGTTAATACAAGGCACTTTGTGTATGAGATCTTGACAGTAGTGACAAACTTTCGTCATCTTACAGAGAGAAACCGAAAATGACCCTGAGCGCAGGGCTGCCACTATCACAAGCTACATTTCTTCCTCTTCAAAATGACATATTATTTGACTAGTAACAATAACTTACACTGTATGTAATTTGAATTCAATCCAAGCTAAATGCTTTTTCCTAAAAACATAACTGTATGTAATTTGTATTTTCCATACAGTCACCTGACGACGGTTGGCCATTTGTTATAAATTTCGAAAACAGCTGTTTTGATAAAATCGTACCGATTGTCCAATCAATATTTAGTTCTAAAATATCACTACCACAATGAAGATAAAATCAATGGCTATCCAGTGGTACCACCCGCAACATCCCAAGACGAAAATTACCCGAGCTGGGTAATGCCTAACAAGACGTGTTTGGCCAGTTCCCAAGGGTCGGCTGCTAAAGTCGTGCCGTGCCAAGAATTCATTTGATTTTTTTGACTTTGTTATATACCTGCTACAGGGTTTGTTTATGTAATAAAACAAAAGTTCAGAATGTTATCTTTCGAATGGTATATATATTATTCTCATCTGAGTTGATTATAAGTGTTTTTTTTTTTTACCGTTAAAGTCATTTCGGCCCATACCGTCACCAGACGACGGCTGGCCATTCTAAGCATCAACGTCAAACCGTCACCAGACGACAGTTGGCCACTGCTAGGGTTAATGACAAATTGAGAGGCATTTGAAAAACTGAGGTAGCACGCACGATTATTATTCACTTAATAATTTATGTTAGATTGTGTGGGTACAGAACAAAACATAAAAATATTAAGGCATTGCCGTCCCTTTTATTGTTTATAGTACTTTGATAAAGGTTTTTATGTTTAGCCTACATATTTAACATTGGAGAATTTAAAATGTTGTTGAGTGCACAGGTGTGCTGCGATTCTGTGCTGCACTCTGTGGCAAAATTGTGCCTCTATTTCAAATTTTAACTAATAGAGCACATGTTGTGACTATTCAACCTACAAAACAGTTGCCAGGTAACAGCTAGTCATATTTATTTGTAAACATTGTACTTCAAAAAATCTGACATTGGTCCACTGAAAACCCTCTGCGGCGGAGCCCTTTTGACGGATCTGCACCAAACTTCACACAAACCATCCTTGAAAGATGCTTAATAATGCCTGAAAGTTTCATTACAATCTGTCGAGCGGTTTTGGAGTCCATAACGTATATACATATATATATATCTATAAAAGAGGAACTATGTATATTAGTCCATTTTTTCCCTAAGAGAGTAAAAACGAACTTCCTATATAATGACAGTTTCTCACTGAGTATTGAAGGTCGTTTTTACTCTCTTAGGGAAATAACTTGCAGAGTATTTGTAGGCCAAGATGTACGTAATTTTTTTTAAATTTATAGCTTAATGAGTTAACTAAAACAATTGATGCAATTTCAAATAAATACAAAAACTGACAAATGACAGATAAATACTTATATAAGCCTATTTATAAATTAGAGGAAACTTTATTAGATCTGATGCTTTGGTCAAATTCAAACATTTATAGTAGGCCTCTTTTAAAATAAACACTTAGTTCCATATTTTTGCAATTGTTTTTTGCAATTAATAATAAACCTTTAACACTAAAATATAAGTTTTATACACATACATACTGTGTTTTTTTTATGGTATAATAGTTTATAATATTATTAGTGGAAGAAACTGTGCAAAAAAGATAGGTATCGGAAGTATCGGTATCGATAGGTATCGAGAGTACTTTGGTGGTATCGGTATCGACAATTTTTGGTATCGGCCCATCTCTAGTTATTTTCCCATAAAAAAAACCCATAAAATAACAGAATATCAGATTTTTGGAAAAAGCCGGTTTTGTAAAATTAGTATGCTATGGTTCTTAGTTCTAAACAAATTAGTGCAACCCCCCATTGCTTTAAAAATTACGGTTTAAATTTAATGCAGGTTTTGTGATTTTTTCTATGAAATATCAAACTCCCAACGCGTAGGCCTACCCATGATAATGGTTGTTGACAAGCTAATGGGAGTAAGTATGTGTCAGTTTGCTGATTACGTTTATCTCCTTTTAGTCCACAAATTAAAGAAACAAAAGCGAACCCACAAGCTTCTTCCACATCCATCACGATCAACAAAAAACAAGGACCTAATGTGATCACTGATGAAGTGCCACACCTCTCAAGGTTACTAGCCACCAAATAGCCCTTCCATGGTATCCATTCCATCTTAAGTAATAAAAAAACTCCAAAACATTTCACTTTGTATTCAAAACTATGAAACCAGTGAAAATTGCTCATTGAGATAATCAGATTTGGTAAGAAACTTACCTCAAAATTCTTTTGCCACTCCTTTTCGAGAGCGACCTTTTCCTCTTCAGCAATTTCTTGTTCACGTTTACGTTTACGCTCCTCAGTATCCCTTATCTCGAGTTCTCTGCGTCTACGCTCCATGTCTGCAAACAGTTTCATTGTCATGACGTAAACAGCATGACGATAAGCAGCCGGATCGTCTTCTTCCACTTGGCTATCTCTACCTTCTCTCTTCTGCCGTTTCCGCTTTTCTGCAATCTACCACATCTTATGAATTTTGTTGCTCACTAACACTATGGTGCAGATATCAAAATGGCTAGTTTTAACAAACACGCCCCAACATGAAGTGTACCAGGGTTGGTACCGATTTTGGAAAATGAAATTCCCTGACTTTTCCAGGTTTTCCAGACTGATATTATACTTTTTCCAGGTATACCGTAAGACGATATCGAATAGTCAGAATCAAGAATTATTAGAAAAAATGTAGGCCTAAATAGTTTACTCATAAAACCAATAAGAAAAGAATTAAACATCTGGAATCTGGAAAATTAAGAGTACCAACTAACTTAACCTCACACTTTATGTTCTATTTGGCCTTGACTTGACACTAGCAGATAGACGATACGGTGCTTCTGATACTGATATACAGACTGTCCCAAAAGTCCCGGATCGGTTTAATATTTTCTAAACGACAACAGATAAATCAATAAGATTTTGCACATCAACACCACACTTAAAAATCTACTTTTTTAAGGGACTATCAATTTTCTGTCATATCATGGGGACGTCCCGCAAGGAGTCAGAAGGAAATCTTAAATAGAAGCATAGGTTGACATGCACATCAAATTAAAGACCTTTACTAGTAGATTACAATGCCGTAAATTCAAGCTCAAAAGAACGCCTGAGTAAAAAATGGCAGCCGTTCAAAGATTTCTTGAACCTGCCATTTTGAATCTTTGAACGACTGCCATTTTTTACTCAGGCGTTCTTTTGAGCTTGAATTTACGGCATTGTTATCTACTAGTGAAGACATTTAATTTGATGTGCATATCGACATATGCTTACGTTAACAATTTTTTCCCGATTCCTAGGGCTGTGCCCCCAAATGCAAATTAAATGAATCTTTGAACCACTGTCATTCTTGACTTGGTTGTCCGTTTGAGTTCAAATTTGCAGCATTATATTCTGCTAGTAAAGACCTTTAATTTGATGTACATGTCAATCTATGCTTCTATTTAAGATTTCCTTCTGACTCCTTGCGGGACGTCCCCATAATGTGACAGAAAATTGATATTTCCTTAAAAAATTAGATTTTTAGGTGTGGTGTTGATGTACCAAATCTTATTGATTTATCTGTTGTCGTTTTGAAAATATTAAACCGGTCCGGGACTTTTGGGACAGTCTGTATATCGATATTTTGCTTGCGATATCATCGGCTTATATCGGAAGAAACATGTGATATTGGAAAAATAACTACCATGCTTGTACCGGAGAGAAAAAGTAGTTCCAAACTAAACTATTAAATATTTCCACAGGAAAAAATTTTTTTATAAACTCCTACAAGTGCAGTTTTTTTTTAGTTTATTAAAGGTTGAATCAGTATTGGTATAAATTCAATGAGGAATTGTATTCAGTATCGTATTGAAATTGAAACGATGAATGTAGGCCTATCCTTCCGCGCATCGCGGTACTAGCAGTGTTTCCATACGTGGGATTATTATCCCGATAACAGGATTTTTAGAGCATGAGCGGGATTTGAAGGGGATGTGGGATAAAACAGGAGTTTTGGCTATGACGTCCGTTTTCATTTACTATGCTTTATTTTAGTGAAAAACTAACCCCAATCGAAAAAATTACCTTAACAAAATATAATAGCAATGTTAAAACAACTATTTAAACACAATATGTCTAATTTAACATTCAGAATGTATTTAACATCAAAAATCTTAAGGGATTAAACGGGATTTCTTAACCCAGTGAACAGGATTATATTCTTTTGGTCGTGTAGAAACACTAGGAGCTCGGTGCGTTCAATTAAAGCCAGTAATCAGAGGATGATGATAGAATGTCTGTCGATGTTCGATGTTTTTTATATCGATGGTAGGTTCCTGATGTTTTTGTTACATCGATGTTTTCGTCAAACTTCGATATTTTTGACCAAGTATTGAGATGTAGATGCAAAATGTAGCATATCTGTAAAAAATGTAGTCTTTCAAGAGAAATTCCAGATTTTTTCCAAAATTCCCTGACTTTTCCCTGACTTTTCCAGACCAACAAAATTCCCTGACATTTCCAGGTTTTCCCTGACCGTACCAACCCTGGTAACAACATAAAAAACTCAATATTAAAAAAAAAATCATCCACGGTAGTTTGAAAATGCATTATTGAGTAAGTATAGTGTAACTTATTAGAGTAATTTTTTAATTCACGCTAAAAAAAAATATGTACAATTAGTACAATACATTTTTAGACATGACTACAAATGCAGGTGCTATTATTTGATATCTGCACAATGAAAGGATGGATGATGGACCTAAATTAATGGTTCCATAATTTAGCAGACATGCAATAATCCTAGCTATTATACTAGATGCAAAATGGGATTCATAAATCATGAAAACAGATACATATACAAAAAAAAAGTTGTGGGGAAGTTACACTTATAGAGAAGTAGCAGTCTTGTGCATCTGTTTATTCGGCTCAGTTGATTGATTTTATCACCTGTGGCATAGGACTTCAGGTTAAGAGTCCTTGGAGGCTAGCGGCCATCGTGGGTAATTTCAAACAGCTGCTGAAGAGTTTATTATCATCCAAAAATAGTTTTTCAACCACAGAAGTGATTATAATTTAAATATCTAAGATACTGTGAGATTAGAAACTGTCTTTGTAGTTTTTAATTGTTTTCCTACCCATGGAAGCCAACGGCCATTTTGGATTTGCCCATCAGGGCAATTTAAATTTTGTTAGTTTCATATATGAAGAGTTATTAACCATATTAAATTATTTTTTCTAATGCCAAAGTGATTGTAATTTAAATATCCAGTATACTGTGAGATTAGAAATTCGTTCTTTTTTAATTGTTTTATGAGTTAGAATGTCCAGGCTCCAAGGACTCTTAGATCAATTTATCTTGTATTTTGTGTGGGTTGATTAAAAAAAAAATGAGTTCACTGCAAAAGAAAATTGATGTAATTCCTCAATTCAATTATGTTGGAATTTAAAATATTCAAAACTTAACAATCAGAATGAGCCTATTCCTGATAAGTGTTAACGGTTTTTTGGCTATGATAAACACTTCTAACATGGAAGACAAAAACCATAGCTGATACACCATATAGGATGCATTTTTTATAGCCTAATTCGATAAGTTGTATTTTGTCAGATATGTGCAATAGATTTGTTCTAAGCCAAAATATAAAACATCTCGTCTCTCATATTCTGTAGGCTACATTAAAATGATAATATTTATAGAATTGGATTTGAATACCATGTAATCAGTTTTGGCTCTTGCTTCTTCAATAACATCCATACATTTTGCTTTTGTTTCCGGATTTTCCAACGTCTTCCAAGCTTTGTTGATAACTGAAAAAAATTTTAAGTTAACATATTTAGACATAAGTTAGTTAAGAACATTTAGAAGTAAATTAACGTTCTTAACGTAATTATTAACTTTTACCTTAATAAACTCATACAAACCTTCAAAAAATTAACATGGGCCTTATGGGATGTCATGTCACCATGAGTGGCCGTTTAGTTTGGCATGATCCTAATTAAAATAACAATCCAGAAAAGAACAATCAGATTACAGTAGAACCTCTCATATCCGACCTCGGAATAACCGACTCCTCAGGATATCCGACCTAGTGTTCGAACCTAGGTTTAAAGTATTCCACTTTTTCCTGTCTGGGGCGATAACGCAGAGCGGGATCGGTTAAACAAATCACATAGGTTGTCGTAATCGCTGGAGACAATTACTTAACACTAATACCGAAACCCTACCTAGGCTGACGTTAACCGAAACCCCCGGTCTGTGAGACCCCATTTGAAAAATAATGGACCCCGCTTAGACACACACAAACCGAAACCCTCGGCCTGTGAGACTCCGCTTTAAAATACACTAACGATGGGCTTCTGAGACGGGCATGTTATGAACAGACAACCTGTCAAGGTCACGGCACCCATGCAAAATGAACAAACAATATATCAATAGGTAGGGGAGGAAAAGGGGGGAAGGTATTGGGGGAATAGAATCTCCCAAGTACACAGTGTTGCCAACATGCATTTTTGAAAATTCCCGTGGGCCTGTCAGACCGGGGTTTCGGTAGTAGTGTTAAGTCGCAGAGACTGCAAGTTAAGCTCAAGGGTGTTGCCATTGTTGCAGGAGACGATTACCAATGTCGTGGAGACTGCAAGTTACACTCAAGGGTGTTGCCGCGGTCGCTCGAGACGATAATGTTGCGGAGCCTGCAAATTATGCTCCTTCCGATATCCGACCTTTTGGCCGTTTCGACCATGGCCCGGTACCGTCATGCTCGAATATGAAGGGTTCTACTATAATACTATTTAGGTCAATGTCAAGTGGTCAAATTAGTGAGAATATGAAACGGAATACCCTAACTCTAACTCATACCTGTTTTTAGATTTATCAGGCAGCAGATTTGAGCTACTTTATATCAGCTTCGCTATTATTTCATGTGGAATTTCATAACATTCCCTATTGTAATGCATCTTCTAATAACGTTAATAGTAAATTATCACAACACACTTCGAATGCTGTTGCTTATCAATTGAAGTGATTTACAAGCTGTATTTGTATTTTTGTGGTGAACGTGTCTATTGGCTGAGGAGGGGGGAGTTAGCTTTGTCGACAGCACATATAGCATTATTGTAGTCAATTGCAAAACTTGTGCAAAGCTGTGTAAAGCTTTGCCATCTTTACAGGTTGCCATTTCATTGAAAAGTATTAAAGTATTACAGACGTCGTGGAGGAGAGCGGCGAGTTCAGGTACAACCGTACCCACCTCGGCCACCTCAGGACGTACGGTATGAAGGTTCCACTGCTTTTAACATCCTTTAAGACGACAATTTCTCGAGCTTGGGCCCTTTAAATGAAATATAAAGTCAAAGTTGATTAAATTAATTTAATGGTGGCTTCTGTACACCCGTGAATTCGTGGGTAGAACCTCTTGTATATGTATATATGTGGGTCTGTGAGATGTTTTGATTTGATTTAATTTGATTATTTAGTTTGGTTTATTAGGTACAATTCATACATAAGAACTAACAGGTGTTTCGTAATTAGGTGATATACTTTAAAATAAAACTAATAGTTCAAAGGTGTGGGTTTATACAATATCTGATCATCCCATTTTGTTTTTTAATCTTATAATTAAAAATATAGCACCAAATGTACTCAAATAAATTTATTTCCGTAAACTTAATGAGGAGAACCTTGGCATGTTAGCATTGAGCTTGTGTAATGCAAATTGGGAGCCTATTTTTCATACACTAGATGTAAAGTGTGCTTTTGAAAATTTCTTAAATACTATTGTTTATTATTTCAATTTGAACTGTCCAAGAATATCTAAGAAAATCAGGCATGATTATAAGAATAAATTAAAGAATAAATGGTTTGATGAATCTTAAAAAAAAATGTGAGATACTGTTATTTTTCTTGCAGATTTAACAAAAATGCCTAATTTAGCAAAGCATGATGATTTAAAGAGAACTCTGTCAGTTTATAGGGAAAAATACAAGACAATTTTATGACGTTTACACAACAATTTTTTGACAAAATTATGATTAAATTGTTTTAAGATTAAGGGTGCGCTCTACCTCAGCTCAGATTTCTCAATACGAAGTTGCCGAACGCCGATGTTCCTATACCATTGCATTGAACAGCGCCTGGAAGAGTGCTTGCAAGCCTTTCGAGTCTGCGTGATTACATAGTTATTCTTCAACTTTTTAGTTAACTAACGGTAGGTTCTTGCTTTTAAGAATCTATTTCACTTTTCCCGTTTTTTATTTTTTCTTTAAAAATTATTTGTATGCGTTAAAACTTATGATAAAAACCATGTATTTTAATATTTCTACCAACCTCTGAGCCCAACATTTTTTAAATTATCAAAATATTAAAAAAACCGCAAAACTACGATAATATTTAACAAAAAATATGACACCAAGATCTTTTAAATCGGTTCATAATTGGGGCTACAATCAGTAAGAACCCTTTGCATTCGCGCACGCCAGACGGGTAGAGCGCACCCTTAATTATAATGAGAAATTTGTTAGCAGTTCAAGGAATACATGTAAGGCTGCTTAGCAAATAGTAAAATCAAGTGGGGATTTTTTCTAACATAATAATACCGTTCCACCTTTTTCAGCAGATGATTTTAATAACCATTACATAGATGTTGGAAAAAAGGTAGTAGAGAAGGCTCATGTTGAACAAGGTAGGAGTTTAGATTTCTCTAATTTTCTAAATAATGCTAATTGTTATAGAAATAAATTTTTGTGGAAATTGGAAACAGAGAATGATATGAAGAAAATAATAAGATCTCTTAATCTATCAGTGAAGATGCTTAGGGGTTTTCAAACAAAATTGTAAAATTCATAGCTCCTTACATTATGGAACCACTGATTCAACTTGTTAATATGGTGTTTTCTAGTTCAACCTTTCCAAATTGCTTAAAAATCAGTTAAACAATCCCTCTTTATAAGAAGGGAGATAAATTTCTTATTTCAAATTACAGACCAATTTCAATGGTTCCAGTGTTTTCAAAAATAGTTGAATCCTGTGCTAAAGCCCAGATCTTTGATTTTCTTAACTTAAATAATATTTTAAACAATAACCCATTTGGTTTCAGATAGGGCCGTTTAACTACTTTGTCTATAGAATCTGTGGTGTCTGATATTTTGGATGATTTTGAATCTGGTGGTTATCTTAGTGTGGTACTTTTGGATCTCAGTAAGGCCTTCAATTCGGTCTTACAAACGATTCTTTTGCAGAAATTAGAATTTTATGGAATAATGGAGCAAGAATTAATTTTTTTTTTAAGGCCTGTGCACACCGAACGCGGGAAGCGGGAGCGACGCGAATGTTCTAGTTCCAAGAAATTAAGTCGCGGGAACTGTTCGCGCGGGATCTATGGTGGCGCACACACGACGCGGGAATTTTCACGGTGAACCCGAACTTAGTTGGTAAGGTGACAGTGTTGTGGTCAGTTGTCAAACCTTCTCATCGTTTGTCGCTAGCCATGTCATAAACGAAGACGAACGATTCGCGTTGGTGTGCACTCTCTCATATCCCGCCGTTGTTTTACAGTCCCGTGCGGAAACTTCCTAGAACTAAATTCGCGTCACTCCCGCTTCCCGCGTTCGGTGTGCGCGGGCCTCTAATCATACCTCTGTAGAAGACTACAATTTGTTAATTTAGGAAAACATAGGTCAAATTTTAAGGTGGTCCTTGCTGGGGTTCCTCAAGGGTCGGTGCTGGGTCCGGTTTTGTTTATCCTCTATATTAATGATTTGCCTAACTCTATACCTTACAAAACAATTTTATATGCTGACGACACAACCTTCATTTCATCAGCTGACAACTTTCACTCTGCAAACCAAAATATAGAAAACGCCATTGAATTGGATAAGCTGTGGTTTGAAGGTAATTTTCTTTAAAAATCATGATAAAACAGAAAAAATTTGTTTTACTTTGCGTAATCTTGAAGCAGACAATGCGGTTTCTGTTAAACTACTTGGAATATCCATAGACTCTAAACTCACTCGGGAAATTCATACCAATAATATCATTTCAAAATTGTCAAGAGTATGTTGTTTGATAAGAAAACTTAAAAATTGTGTTTCTAAACCAACACTTCTAATTGTTTACCACAGTTTATTTCACTCACACTTGCTGTATGGCAATATACTGTGGGGTAATAGCTCAGGAGCTCACCGGGTCTTTACATGGCAAAAGAAGGCTCTCAGAATTATGTTTGAAATTCCAGATAGGGTTAGTTGCAAAGCATTTTTTGCTGAAAATAGAATCATGACACTCTCTAATATTTTCATTTTTAACAATTTAGTTTCCGTTAAAGAGAATCTAAATAAATTTGTTCCTTGCAACTCAATCCATGGGTATATCACCAGACAATCAAAAGATTTATATATTCTCAAGCCAGGCTAACAAAATTTATGAAAAGTTATAAATATTTTCAAATAAAAACTATTTATTAAACATCAAATATATTTTAGAAATCAGGAAAGCATTCATTTTTTTAGGTCAAAATTATCAGATTGGCTTACAAGTCGTGCTTTTTATTCAGTCGAGGAGTTTTTGCAGAATGTAGATTTTTCAACTCTTAAATGTGAGGCCAAGCAGTCTTGATGATTCTTTGTTCTTGTTATGGTTTTCCCTGTTAATTTCAAAGTTTTTTATTATTACTGATGCTTTATCCGTTTAAGATTCATTTAACTTTATTTTAACATTTTCTGTAGCCTATTTATGTAATAAATGTGACCTTGTCTATTGTAATTTTTATATTACCAAATGCCAATAAAGATTTATTATTATTATTATTAATTAT